GGGCTGTGAACTCCCGCAGCCTCTGATTGGCTGCCCTCCTGGAGCCTGAGCCAATCACAACTGGCCCGGAAAAGCTAAGGCTCCACCCTTTGGAGCCACTGCCCCGCCCCTGGGAAGCCCCTAGGGAGGACCCACCGCCTGCTCTTGGGTCCTCCCTAGGTTGCTCTCCTACCTCTGTTCACTGGGACACTTAGGTTTTGACTGCAGGCTGCCAAGGCCCGTGTTTCCCAGGGAGAAATCCTGGCACCCTCCAGCCGTGCCTGTTGATGGAGAGCTTGGGAGTTAATTTAGGAGCTGTGTGAGGTGCTGTTTTATTGCTGGCCTATCTGGGTTAGGAGGTGGGCCAGCGAGCCGCTGGTTTCCGTGCCAGACACCATTTATCTAGGATGGCGGGCTGATTTAAAGTCACTCTCAGCGCTCTTGCCTTGGAAGCAGTTGCTGGCTTGTGCTCTTGTGACTGGGACTGTAAAGTGGACCTCACAACCCTCCCACAAAGTGGGGTTTGTTGTATGACCTTTGCAGTCGTGCCTCAGTATCCACCAGGGCTTGGTTCCAGAACCCCCCACGAATACCCAAATCTGCAAACGCTCAAGTCTGAATACATAAAACGGCACAGTATTTGCATAGGACCTACAGACACCCTCCTATAGACTGTCATCTCTGGTTTACTTATGACAATATAATGTAAATAGTTGTTAAACTGTATTTCTTAGGGAATAATGACAAGAAAAAAGAAGTCTGTACAGGTTTAATAAAAATGCAAGTTTAAAAAAAAACAACTTTTTTTTTTTTAATATATACCAGATTGAACCAGGGTGCTTAACCACTAAGCTACATCCCCAGCTCTTTTTATTTTCTGAGACAGGGTCTCATTAAGTTGCCTAGGGCCTCGTGCAGTTGCTGAGGCTGGCTTTGAACTTGGGTCCTTCTACCTCAGCCTCCCAAGCTGCTGGGATTACAGGTGTGCGCCAATACAGCCTGCCCAAAAATGTTTTTGGTCTGTGGTTTGGCCGGCCGTGTAGCCAATGGTCAGAAGGAGGTTGAGGCCCCTGGAGCCTGTGTGGCTTCCATGCAGTCCCTGTCCAAGCCTCTGTGTGGCTACCTCTACGGTGGGATAAAACCCAGGGATGGTTCCCAAATCTAGCTTCAGCTGCCTTGGAGAGCCGGAAGAATATATAGAAGATAGCATACAGTGTCTGGTCTGAGGCTGGTTTGTTCTCCATGGGAGCCCCCTGACCCTCCTTTGTACACACTTTGCTCTCAGAACCACCTTCTGTCCAGCCAGTGCAGGCGTGGCTCACGGAGGCCCATCTGTTGGTGTCCTGGGCTGTGGCCTCTCCGCAGCATCCTCTGCGATCTCTGGGCGGATTGCTTTCCTGGAGTCCGTTGGAATATGCTTGGCAATTGAGCCCAGCTGTGTCTCAGTTCCTGAAATTCCATCTGAGTATAGGAGGGCAGTGGGAAGGAGGGTGGAAGGGTGGGAACTCCATGTGACAGGGCAGGACTGAGTCACAGCGCTGGTGAGTCACAGCCCACCGGGACTCTGGGTGGGTTTTTGGTTGGCGGCTCCTGTCTGGGTTCACCCGGCGGGAACCCCAGGCTGAACACTCACAGGGCCGCTGCAGAGCCTAGTTGTCTAGAGCCACATCCCAGTACTTCCTGGGTTCCAGAACAAAATGTCAGAAGGTTGCTGGGTTGGCACAGGGCAGGCATGGCCAGGCGGCGGGGGCTCGCCTATTTGTCCTCCACTCTAGCTCCTCCGATCCCCGAGGGTCCCTTTCTGAACTTGGATCTTACTGAAGGCCTGCAGAGGCTGTCTGCCTGGGGCTCCCCGCACTGTGTGGCAGCTCTCAGTGGGTTCTGGGGTACAGACAGGGCGGGTAGGCTGTGTACACCGTGGGGTTGAAGAACAAAAGCTTTGGACTTTAGCTGTCCTGGGTTCAAGCCCGGCTCTGCATCGCTGTTACTCAGGGCAGTGTCCTCAGCATTGCTGAATCTCGGTTTTCTCAGCCACAAAGTAGGGAGATTAGTAAACGTCTCACTGTCCTTTGTGGGTTAAATAAGTTAATAGCTATAAATGTTTTTATCAGGCAAACATGGGCCATTACTATTATCTTTCACCCTGGATCCTCCCCTTTGGGACAGGCTATTGATTTCTGTGAGTCTTAGTTTCTTTCTTTGTAAAGTGGGACTAGTAATGCTAACCGTGTGACTGTCACTGGGAACCTGGCTTTGCCCCTTTCTTGTAAGGCAGCGGGTGTGGTGTCACAGTTTAAGGGTGCCCCCTATTGGGATTTAGCTGGGTCCTGAGCAGGGTGCTTGGAACCCTGGGATCATCAAGTAGAAGTGGTGTCACGGTGTTAGCCAACTCCTGGAGACTTTTCAAACACCGTTCAGGAGTCTGAGGGACGGAGGCAAAGGGCTGTCCTGACTTGGTCCTTATGTGTGTCAGCACCTCATAGTGGCACTGCAGAGCCATAGAGGGGCTTCCCCCTGCACCTCCGCCTCCTAGGGCCTGGGAAGAAAGGGAAGACGAGGAGAAACTCTAACCACTGACCTGGGGTTAGGGCTCTGGTTCCAGTGGCCATCCATGATGCTGAGCTGGCGGGAGGCCAGTGTCAGGCCTTTCTGTCAGTGCCAAATGCCCGGTCTTTCCTGCTAGGTTGATCCTCTGCAGGCCACATTGCAACTTGACCATTTGTTCTTGGGCCTGGGACAAGGGCAAAGGGTCTAGTGTCCTTCTGTGGTCTCTGATGGGCAGGCTCTAGCCTGGGAGCTCATATCCATTCCTCCCTGTCCCCTGCTCCACCCACAGTCAGAAGTGCACCCTGCAGGCTGTGTGGCACAGCTCCCTGGTGCTGGCTTCAGGCCGAGCCCGAGCTAACGCCACAGGGCCCAGGCAAGGACAAGGCTGGGGCTTCCTCCCACAGCCTCACCATCCTGGGTGGGGCCTCCTGTTTTGCGCTCGGTGGCCCCCGACCCAGGATCCCTTTGCCTCTGGTAGCTCCTCGGCTCCTTCCCCTGTGTGCCATTCCCCTGGTTTGTAGCAGGACTCAGTGGGTCACTCCGCCTCTCTGGACCCCAGCTGATCCAGGGCTGCTGTCCTCCTGGGCAGTTGTGCCTGGTGCCCCGCTGGCCGGTGGAGCTGGGCCTCACCTTGGAGGCAGGATGATCCGTGATTCAAACTGGGGCTTTGGAACCAGCAGAAGGAGGCTCCAGTCTTAGTGCTTCCTCTAGTGGCTCTGGCCTGCAGGCCCCCGTCCCTGTACTGTCCCCGAGCTGCTGTCTACAAGCAGGAGCTCTCCTGGCCTGCCCAGCTGCCCCCTACGTCTGAGAGGAAGATGCTCTGCTACCCTGTGTGGGGCGGAGGAAGCTCTA